GGGGAGAGGAGGGAATCAGTTTGGGTGGAGAAAAATGATAATTTTGAAATGCTTCATTTTGATTTCAACCATGTTTCCTTTAGGGTACGTCTAGACTACCAGGTTTTGTCAACGGAAGTTTTGTCGACAGATACTGTCGACAAACCTTCTGTCGACAAAGAGCGTCCAGACACATTGAGTTCTGTCGACAAAGCAAGCTGCTTTGTCGACAGAACCCCGTAGTCTAGACGCAACACTACAGGCAATAACACCTTCTGTCGACAGAACTCTGTCGACAGAAGGCGTTATGCCTCGTAAAATGAGGTATACCAGCGTCGACAAAACTGCTGAGTTCTGTCGACGTTATGTCGACAGAACTCAGCGGTAGTGTAGACGCTGGTATAGTTTTGTCGACAAAAGTCCACTTTTGTCGACAAAACTCAGTAGTCTAGACACAACCTTAAAAAAAAAAAAAAAGCTTGTTCAGGTTACTTTACAAAAGGTCTAGAAGCAAAAAGCAATGTGGACTTAAAACAAAAGTCCTGGTTCAATATTAGTTTCAGTGCTGTTTGAGCTGTTTTGGTCCTAGCATATTGGAGGGGTAGGGCAGATGACACCATACAACTCACAGGGGAACACTTCATAAAACAATCACTTTATATACAACCTCTGTCCTCATCAAAGAAACCCAGCCGACCCTAAGTGCTGCCTGGAGAGGGCTCTGGCAGTGATTTAAAGGGCCAGGAACCCCAGCCACCACTGTTTCCGTTGTTCCTCTCCTTCCAGCTCTCTATTAGCAGTCCTGAACTAAACACTCTGTTCCATCTTGGCTTTTCTGTGGCCCTCTGAGCACTTCTCTCAGCAGGGGAAAGAGGTCTGTGCAGCTCAAAAGCTTGTCTCTTTCCCCTCCTGAAGTTGTTTCTTGCCTCTCTAGTTCAACACTGCCACCTTGCCCCCTAGCTCAAGACTGTCCACATGGGATGTTTCAACATTTGCAAAACCATCTCAACCAAAATAGCCTTGACTCTGGTGTGTCAACCAACCTGATGTTGTTTCATGAAGTGTTCTGCTTTCCATGAATCATCATCTTCCGAGAAGTCGTTCTGTCAGAAGATTCCTGACCCTAATACACATAACAACATGTGCTTGCTTCAGAGCAGGGTGTTGATATTTGACTGACTCACGGAGCCCTGGGTGGATGCAAAATTTATATCGTCATCCACATCTAAACAAATGATATGTGGATATCTGTATCCACGCCCGCAGATGTGGATAACCTCAGCTAGGAAGTGGATATCTGCACCTTTGCAGGGTTCTAGATAATAAATTTATATCTGCAAAGCGATCCGTGGACATAAAGTGAATAGCCGTGGAGTTGCAGGGCTCAGTGGATGAGCTGGTGGTCTATGCCGATGCCTCTATGAATGGGTTACTACTGGACTCAGGGGTGCTGCAGAAGCGTAAACTTGGTTATTTCATAGCAGTCCAGGGCTGCTCTGGTTTGTGTGCCACACCAACATGATGCGAGCGCTACCAAAGACAAGTAGGTCTTGATCATGCTCCCATTGAAATAGATGGTGAAACAGCTATTGGCTTTACTGGAACAAGTTGAAGGCCCTCGTTAGTATTTCTATCGTACTCGTTAGTATTGCGATCATACTTGGCATCTACTTGGAGGTGGACCATTTGACTCCAGCTTGTTCTATCAAATATCTGGTGCACTTAAATATATTATTTAATATATTATTTAAGTAGATATTGGGATAGAGAGTACGCTTATTAAGTGTGCAGATGATACCAAACTGGGTGGGGTTGCAACTTCTTTGGAGGATAGGGACATAATTCAAAATGACCTTAGCAAGTTAGAGAAATTGTCAGAGGTAAACAGGATGAAGTTTAATAAAGAGAAATGCAAAGTGCTCCACTTAGGAAGGATCAATCAGTTCCATACATACAAGATGGGAAGCGACTGTCTAGGAAGGAGCATGGCAGAAAGGGATCTAGGGGTCATAGTGGACCACAAGTTGAATATGAGTCAACAGTGTGATGCTGTTGCAAAAAAAGCAAATATGGTTCTAGGTTGTATCAACAGGTGTGTTGTAAGCAAAACTCGTGAAGTCATTCTGCCGCTCTACTCTGCACTAGTTAGGCCTCAGCTGGAGTACTGTGTCCAGTTCTGGGCACCACATTTCAAGAAAGATGTGGAGAAATTGGAAAGGGTACAGAGAAGAGCGACAAGAATGATTAAAGGTCTAGAGAACATGACCTATGAAGCCAGGCTTCATGAACTGGGCTTGTTTAGTTTGGAAAAAAGAAGATTAAGGGGGGACATGATAGCGGTTTTCAAATATCTAAAAGGGTGTCACAAGGAGGAAGGAGAAAATTTGTTCCTCTTGGTTTCTGAGGACAGGACAAGGAGTAATGGGCTTAAAGTGCAGCAAGGGAGGTTTAGATTGGACATTAGGAAAAAATTCCTAACTGTCAGGGTGGTCACATATTGGAATAAATTGCCAAGGGAGGTGGTGGAATCTCCCTCTCTGGAGATATTTAAGAACAGGTTAGATAGACATCTGTCAGGGATGGTGTAGACGGAGCTTGGTCCTGCCTTGAGGGCGGGGGGCTGGACTGGATGACCTCTCGAGGTCCCTTCCAGTCCTATAATTCTATGATTCTATGATTCAACACTGGCTCTCAAGGGAAGAGATAACTGGAGCATTATGATCAGGCCTGCCAACAGGAATTCCACATCCCAGGTCAACACATCAATGGGCCCCGATCCTCCTTGTAGGGAGCCATAACCCACCCCCCAACCCAGAGAAATGCCAAGCATCTCCCCTCAATCAGAGACCCCATTGTCAGTTGTTGCCCCATCCCCCACCTGCCTGGAGGTCACCCTCCTTCCCCTCTCTGCCCCCTCCAGTCCAGCTTTGCCCCTCCAGCAGTCATGTGTCCCTGCCCTCAGCTTCTTTCTGCCATCCATCCATGCCTATGTCCTGGGCACCCTTCCACTTTTCTGCCTTCCCATGGCTCCCTCCTTCTCTTCCCAGCCTCGCTCTTCCTTCCCTGCTCACCCTGCTCCCTCCTCTTGCCCCTAATACTCCATGGCCCTGATGGGGGTTCAAAGCAACAAGCAGCTCCCGCCCTCCCCGCCCCCTGCTGTGCTGCCACCACCCTCACTCTGCTGATGTGAGCGTGGCTTGAAGCTCCCTCAGCCCCCCCACATGCTGCCATTGCCATTCTGTTGATCTGAACAGGGGGCTTAAAGTGGCAGAGAGCTCTGGGCCCCCCTCCTGCCCTGCTGCTCTGCCGATCTGAGCTCCGCGGCTCCCTGCAGCTGCGTTTTGGTTCTGTGTTTGTAGAGTGCCTAGCACTGTGGGGGTCGGGCCTTTAAGCAGGGATCCCAGAGGTTACCATGATAGAAATAATATGAAACAGCAATACCGGGCTAAAATGTCACTCACTTCTTGCCTGTCGTTCTAGCTTCTTGCATGGTGAACTACATGCAAGAAGCTAGATGCAAACATGCAGCCTTTTACTTCCATTTTCTCTCTCAGGATGGCAGGGAGGGGGTTAAAGTTGTCTAAAAAACTGATAGACGCTCAGAAAATGGTAGAGGGATAGCTATAACCCAGTGGTGTCCAGCCAGGGTTTTGCATGTGGCCCATGAGACATTTTGTTTACTGTTGTCCACATGCAGGGTTGCCGGATTCTACTGGTTTCTGTTCACATCGTTTTTTTCCTACCCGTGTTACTAAAGTGCCACGCACACAAAGCAAGGCCACGTGAAGTGAGGTGTAGGCTGAGTGCACACAACATTGGCTGTGAGAGCCATGTGCTCCCTCTGCATCCAATCAAAGCACCGCTATAGTTCAGTTGGCTCCCTCTACAAATTCTAGGTACGCAAGCGCAGTTAGCAAAACTGCCCTATCCCGAGAGACCATCTTTGTTCCAACAAGCTTGTGGCCCATAGAGATGAAAGAGGGCCACGCAAGGGGCCCATTCACTAGCCTGGACTACTCATTGCTGCTCTTACCCCTTCTGTCAGGAACTGGAAAACGGGCAATACTCCCTGAATGCCTCTGTGTGCCAGCTATTCCTGACTACTAGAACAGTCCGTTGGTACCAGCTGGAGCTTGGTGTATGTTAAATCATCCCTGATGCTGCTCTAACTTAGGCTGGAGTCCAAACAAACTCCAAGGAATCAAGGAAACTGAGGACTTGTCTTCAGTTACCGGGAGATCAACGCTACAGAGATCAATCTACTGGGGTTTGATTTAGTGGGTCTAGTAAGGACCCACTCAATCAGGAGTGTCCAAACTTTTTTCAAAGAGGGCCAGA